GCCCTAAGCAATCAACGCTCTTTTGAGAGGCAGGTGAATTTTGAGATACTTACTCTTTGAATAAACACGCCAATGACCGATAGGGCTCAATTCATTGAAGAGCCTTGGAATATTAGCAGCAGTTGTCATTGTTTAAAAATTCACGCTTTTCTCCCAAGCGTGCTCGACCGAATTAAATTTTTCAGGGGCGCATATCCTTGTCCCTCCCATTCTAAAATAATGAAGTAAGAAGTTTTCAAGGCACTCCCTAGCAGTTCCTTCTCAGATTCGAACTAGGGTCTCAAGGTCGGCCTCGCTAATTTGTTATATATATATATATTCAATTGTATGTACATATATCTGTGTGTGTGAGTGTGTGTGTGTCTGAAGGCTTAAAATAAAGTTTATATATATATATATATATATATATATATATATATATATATATATATATATAAAGAGAAAAACAAACAGATTTAGAATCCATCGCTATTTACCATTTACTTATAACGTAGAGCAAAATATTATAATATTTTTATTATAATATCTAACATCGCCTGATGAAGATCAATTTTAAAGTTCCGAAAAACTTTTGTGTAGCGATGTAAAAAATTATAATATATATATATATATATATATATATATATATATATATATATATATATAGTCATGCACAGTCAGACTGTTTTGCTGTATCACAGCTCATTAGCATGGCTAGACATCCGATTGCTTCAAGCCTGGATCGAAACTAGACCGATTTGACATCACCCAGAGACTCTTACCAAAGAAAAAAAGTGATTTTAACGCATTATATACGTGATATATAAACTCCATACCAAAGCATAGCGCCCAATTTTACGAAGAGCGATATATATATATATATATATATATATATATATATATATATATATATGTGTGTGTGTGTATGTATGTGTGAGGGTGTATGTATATGCTTTCTTCCATTAACTGATTTTTTTTTCTGCTTATTAACCTTTTGCAAGTTATATAAAAACAGAAAATTCCTTGTATTTTCTTTTTTGATAGATGACATCAAACGTTTTGCAGTTTATTTATAGTCAGAAAATATTTTTAGAATGTAATAACCTTTTTCTAGACAGTAATGTTTTACTGATAAAAAATGCTAATAATTAACCCATACCTGGGGTAGAGGGGGTGGATTCATACCTTTCCAAAGGGTATTTAGCGTGAATATAATGAACCCAACTGGAATTGGAACTTGGCTCTCCGATTAACAATTCAGAGTCATTATCAATTGCAACAACCGCACACTCAAACTTTCCACACCTAGACGGTAACCCTATAGGTACTGACCAGGCTCGACGTTGCTTAACTTTGATGATCGTACGAGAAATAATGTTTCGACGTGGTGTGGCCGTAAGCCATATATGCGTGCGTTTTCTTGGATAGATATGGACACATATTCGAAACACACTCACACATATATTTATATGTACGTTGTGAGAGCCTGGGTGCGATCTGTTTATGTTATGTCCTGTGTATACAAAGAGATGGAAAGAATTTGACAAGTTTAATTCAGATGATTATCAAAAATAATTGAGCGGCGATGTAGTGAAAGACGAGAGGGTATGAGCCAGCCTATAACAGGGAGAGCGCGGACTGGAAACAGGGCCAACGCGTGCGTAAGGCGACAAGTTTATCAGAACTCTGAAGAGATGAAAGTGAATCGTGCTCTTGAAGTGTTCTCTTTACCGCGAAAACCAAGAACTCAGAGGACCCACAATCCTACTGTTTACAGTGGCGGGGCCCGGTCTTATCAGAATTATCGATCATGCTAAATCGGCATTAAGCACACTATGACGACGTTTCAGTTTTTGCAAAGCCAACGTCTATATGATCGTCGTACGGTGGAAGGTGGTGCGTTCGGGTCTGGGTTGAGGGCTGTCCAGTGTGCTAGAGAAAGGAGCACTTACTACATCGTTATGACGACAGCAGCGTCTGCATTTTTTATACGTTTTCCATTGCATTGATTTTCACATCGCACTCATGGTCTTCTTAATAGTTTAAATCTTTTGAAATAAAACTATTATGTTCAACAACAGACGAGATCACCGAATTTAGAATTCAGTGCCTGCTGCATGATTCTTTGAATATATATATATATATATATATATATATATATATATATATATATAAAATTTTCTACCTAAATATCTTTAAATATATATATATAATATATATATATATTTTAAAGATATTTTTTGAAGGTAGAAAATTTTTTTATATATATATATATATATATATATATATATATATATATATATATATATATACCTTTGAGAGTTCTGAGGTGATAGTTTTCTTTTCAGCATCACTTAAACTGCTTTTTACGGCCCATCTTTTCATTAAATTCTTACACTTTTCTAATAATTTGGCACGCTCAAATCACCGTGCTGATAAAAACAAATATGGCGCCAGTTTGTTTACATTGCGCAGATCAGTACAAAAATTTCAGTGATTGCGCAGTGATTGTGAATTGATTGGACGGTTTTTGAAATATTAGAAAAAAAGTTATCTCGATAATAATTTGGTACGCAGTGTATATATATATATATATATATATATATATATATATATATATATATATATATGTGTGTGTGTGTGTGTGTGTGTGTGTGTGTGTGTGTGTGTGTATATATATATTATATATCTATATGAAGAAATATAGTTTTTAAGGTGTGCTATATTTATGGGATATAGTGATCAATATCAGAGATAGAGCGTAAGTAAATATAATTTAAATAAAAATATTGAAGTCAACACTCAGAGGCGACAGGCTGCTTCATGCAGGGCGCAATCGTCAGGCCGCCTGATGATTGCGTCCAGCAAGAAAGAGCCTGTAGCCTCTGAATATTGACTTCAATGTTCACTTTACACACACACACACACACAGACACACACACACACACACATATATATATATATATATATATATATATATATATATATATATATATATAATTATTCCAGGATCATTTTCCAATTTATTCAAGATGATCTTCGCCCTCTCTAACCTTCTAACTTTCTGTCCTAGAGTAACAAATTGCCTTGATATTTTCGAGTTTTTCCACTGCTCTTTGGACTGTCATAGCTGTTACGTGCCAGACGTCTTATGAATTGATATGGATCATTTCAAATTGATCTCTTTAGCTCGAAGTTGAAATGATGATCCCTCTTCCTGTTGTGACCTACTGATCCAGTTTTCCTCTCTATTGTTCCCGCTTTTTTAAACTTGTTAACCATTCTCTTGATGGTTCTTGAATAGACTTTGAAGATGTCAGCCAGAATGTGAATTTTGGTAGCATTAATGAAGGCTGAATGATTTTTTCCTCTCACCATTGCCCAGCTGAGAAGACAGTGTGACTGACATAAAACAATTTTAACCTGTTCTTTTTCTAGCTGAATAACTCAAAGGGTTGTTCAGTGTTCCTTACGACAAATGGTATTCTTTTCTGGACACAGAGTGTGTAGAAACTGTTCAAATGTTTTGTAATTACGATCGCTTTCAACTATAACTTTAGCCATTATTAAGGATGATTTTATTTTTGCTTTTTAATTGGGTGTATATTGTGTGTATGTTTTTAGAAATGAAATAGCATCCAACATTTAAATAATGAAATCCACAAACATAACGAGACACTAAAAAATGTGTGTGTGTGTGTTTCAAATTTTTACAAATTACGAATAATCCTTCTCTGACAGGAAAAATATTTCGTCAGAAATTTATATATCATATCCTCCGATCATCTTCGAAAAGACGATCATTTTCATCGGCACAAAATGACTGTCGTATTTAATAAAACCATCTAAAAGTTTGAAATTAATAGAGAATTTTAAAAGATTTAAAACTTAATAATTTTTCTAAATAAAATTTTTAAAAATCAAAAGAAGTCTTGTAAAAATTCATTATTCATCGAAAATAAATTGTTTCATAAGGCAATAATCTCCTTAATATATCTTATTTATAAAAGCATTTAAGTTTTTCTAATGAAATAACGTCATACTTTGATTTCGTTTTTTTTTTATTATTATTTTACGATTCGGAGCAGTTTTTCGGTAAATAGTGTTTCCGTTTGACAAAAACAAATTGACGATTTAAATTCTCCAAGTTGTCCTGCATTTAGCAAATAAATACAAAGGCCCTGGAATTTAATTTATCGAAATTTCATAAAAGGTATTGGCGTAAAAAAATATATATATTATACCAAGATTTTCTAAAAAAAGAAATTAAAAATTATTTCATTAACTTGTGAATAAGTCCTGAAAATTTCATTAAAATCCGATAATTACTTGATTTTTGGAAGAATTTTCAGAAACAATGTGTTTTCGACCGCGAAAAGATGCTAAATTTTTCATACGAATATTTAGCCCAGCCGGTGACTAAAAAGTTTCTAACAAAAACTCTGTGCGGACTAGAAATGATTAAAAAAAGTAATAAAATCATCAAGAAATACTTTGGTGTTTCCTCTTAATAATAACATGAATATTTAGACGATAAAACTTTATATTTATTAAGTTTGGGGCCATTTTTCATCATTGTATACTCTTGGGTTTCCAGTTCCTTCTAAATTCTATTTCAACTTCGTAAATATCTCTACTTTCTTTCTTTTCACTTCCTCTAAATCTTTCTTTCTTTATTTCCACCTGTTCAGTCCCGTCTGTTCTTTTTTTTTCCATTCACCTATCTCTCTATATTTTCTTCATTCTTTCTTTCGTTCTTTCTTTCTATCTAGCTGGTCTACCTCTCATTTTTCCTTTACTGTCATTATAGTCTTCTTCGATTTTCCACTTACCATCGATTTTATTTTATTTTTTTTTTTTTATTCTTCACATCCAGTTCCACCCTCTTTATCAATTTACTTTATTTCGGAAATAATGTCATCACCTGAGCGCTGTACATATTCTTAAACCTGATTCTGACTCAGCCAGAAATGACGCGGAATTCTTCGTTCTTGTATATTGTTATAGTTATTCTAACCATAATGATTGGTCCGCTTCGTTCTTTCTTTATTTTTTTTTCTTTCAGGCTCTCCCTCTATTTTCTTTCTTTCTTTCTTTCTTTCTTTCTTTCTTTCTGTCTTCGTTCTTTCTTTCTTTCTTTCTTTCTTTCTTTTCCACCTACCAGATCGGCCCGTCTTTCCTTCCTAAATGATGAACTTCTTTCTATCGTTCTTTCTTTCTTTCTTTTTTCTTTCTTTCTTTCTTTCTTTCTTTCTTTCTTTCATTCTTTCTTTCTTTCTTTCTTTTCCACCTACCAGATCGGCCCGTCTTTCCTTCCTAAATGATGAACTTCTTTCTTTCTTTCTTTCTTTCTTTCTTTCTTTCTTTCTTTCTTTCTTTCTTTCTTTCTTTCCTCGTTCTTTCTTTCTTTTCCACCTACCAGATCGGCCCGTCTTTCCTTCCTAAATGATGAACTTCTTTCTATCCTTCTTTCTTTCCTTCTTTCTTTCTTTCTTTCTTTCTTTTCCACCTACCGGATCGGTCCGTCTTTTCTTCCTAAATGGTGAACATCTTTCTTCTTTCTTTTCTTTTCTTTCTTTCTTTTCTTTCTTTCTTTTTCGTTTTTTTTTTCTTTCCACCCACCAGATCGGTCCGTCTTTTCTTCCTAAATGATGAACTAATTTTCTTTCTTTCTTTTTTCTTTTCTTTCTTTCTTTCTTTCTTTCCTCGTTCTTTCTTTCTTTTTCCACCTACCAGATCGGTCCGTCTTTCCTTCCTAAATGATGAACTACTTTCTTTCTTTCTTTATTTTTCTTTCTTTTTTCCTTCTTTTTGGTCTTTCTTTCTTTCTTTTCTTTCCTCGTTCTTTTCTTTATTTTCCACCTACCAGATCGGCCCGTGTTTCCTTCCTAAATGATGAACTTTCTTTCCTTCTTTCTTTCCTTCTTTCTTTTTTTTTCTTTCTTTCTTTCGTTCTTTCTTTTTTTCGTTCTTTCTTTCTTTTCCACCTACCAGATCGGCCCGTCTTTCCTTCCTAAATGATGAACTTCTTTCTTCCTTCTTTTTTCCTTCTTTTTCTTTTTTTTTTTCTTTCTTTCTTTCTTTCTTTCTCGTTTTTTCTTTCTTTCCACCTACCAGATCGGCCCGTCTTTCCTTCCTAAATGATGAACATCTTTCTTTCCTTCTTTTCTTTCCTTTTTTTTTTCTTCTTTCTTTCTTTCTTTCTTTTCTCGTTCTTTTCTTTCTTTCCACCTACCAGATCGGTCTGTCTTTTCTTCCTAAATGATGAACTTCTTTTTTTTCTTTCTTTCTTTCTTTCTTTTTCTTTCTTTTTTCTTTTCCACCTACCAGATCGGTTCGTCTTTCTTCCTAAATGACGAACTTTTCTTTCTTTCTTTTCTTTTCTTTCTTTCTTTCTTTCTTTTCTTTTTTTCTTTCCACCTACCAGATCGGCCCGTCTTTTCCTTCCTAAATGATGAACTTCTTTCTATCCTTCTTTCTTTCTTTCTTTCTTTCTTTCTTTCTTTCTTTCTTTTCCACCTACCAGATCGGCCTGTCTTCCCTTCCTAAATGATGAACTTCTTTCTTTCCTTCTTTCTTTCTTTCTTTCTTTCCTTCTTTCTTTCTTTTTTTTTCTTTCTTTCTCCGTTCTTTCTTTCTTTTCCACCTACCAGATCGGCCCGTCTTTCCTTCCTAAATGATGAACTTCTTTCTATCGTTCTTTCTTTCTTTCTTTCTTTCTTTCTTTCTTTCTTTCTTTTTTCGTTCTTTCTTTCTTTCTTTCTTTTCCACCTACCAGATCGGCCCGTCTTTTCTTCCTAAATGGTGAACTTCTTTCTTTCTTCTTTCTTTCTTTCATTCTTTCTTTCTTTCTTTCTTCGTTCTTTCTTTCTTTTCCACCTACCAGATCGGTCCGTTCTTTTCATCCTAAATGATCGGTCTTTCTTTCTTTCTTTCTTTCTTTGATTCTTTCTTTCTTTCTTTTCTTCTTTCTTTCTTTCCTTCTTTCTTTTTTCTTTTCTTTCTTTCTTTCTTTCTTTCTTTACTCGTTCTTTCTTTCTTTTCCACCTACCAGATCGGCCCGTCTTTCCTTCCTAAATGATGAACATCTTTCTTTCCTTCTTTCTTTCCTTCTTTCTTTCTTTATTTCTTTCTTTCTTTCTTTCTTTCCTCGTTCTTTCTTTCTTTTCCACCTACCAGATCGGTCCGTCTTTTCTTCCTAAATGATGAACTTCTTTCTTTCTTTCTTTCTTTCTTTCTTTCTTTCTTTCTTTCTTTTCCACCTACCAGATCGGTCCGTCTTTTCTTCCTAAATGACGAACTTCTTTCTTTCTTTCTTTCTTTCTTTCTTTCTTTCTTTCTTTCTTTTCCTCGTTCTTTCTTTTCTTTTCCACCTACCAGATCGGCCCGTCTTTCCTTCCTAAATGATGAACTTCTTTCTATCCTTCTTTTTTTCTTTTTTTTTCTTTCTTTCTTTCTTTTCCTTTTCCACCTACCAGATCGGCCCGTCTTCCCTTCCTAAATGATGAACTTCTTTCTTTCTTCTTCTTTCTTTTCTTTCTTTCTTTTTCTTTC